GGCACCGCCCCGCCGCTCATTGGGCCCCGCGGGGCGGCCCCGCCCCCCGCGCGCCACGCCCGCCCCGCACCTGTGCGCGCGCGACACCGGCACCGATCCCGGCACCGACCCTGACCCTGACCCTGATCCCGACCCCGATCCCGACAGCGACCCTGATCCCGACCCCGGCACCGGCACCGGCACCGACCCCGATCCCGGCACCGACCCTGACCCTGACCCTGACCCTGATCCCGACCCCGATCCCGGCACCGACACCGACACCGACCCCGATCCCGGCACCGATCCCGACGCTGACCCTGACCCTGATCCCGGCACCGTCACCGATCCCGATTCCAGCAGCGACCCTGACCCCGATCCCGGCACCGATCCCGACCCCGATCCCGGCACGGACACTGACCCTGACCCCGACCCCGGCCCCGGCACGCCGCGGGCTCGCTCCGCTCAGGGCGCTGCTCCCGGTGTCCCCTCTCTCGCCGCCTGTGCGGGACGCGCGGTGCCCGGCTCGCACGGGTGGCACGAGTTCACAGTGCTGCACCGAGAGTGACAGAGCGTCTCTTGAGGCTTTGCCAGCCGGGGCTGCAGGGAGGGCGAAGTTCCGCACACTGCGCTAGACCTTTCCCCAAAGGCTGAGGGGACCGAGGGAAACTGACCTGGAAACTGCGCCGTGAGGGCGGAGCGGGGCTGAGTGCCCCCCCTGGCTGGATAGCCCCCTCTGCAGAATGCCCAGGGGTGCCACGGGTCTGGGGTGCTGCTGGGTGTGCACAGGACAAATCACCAGAGGAGCTACCCTGGAAACAGGCAGCTCTGCAAGAGCAGGTTTTGTTCCTCCAGCAGAACCATTTCTGCACCAGTTTCCAGATGGGGTTTTGGGAATGCCTCGCTCTCTGAGCTGAAGGTCCCCCAGGGTCTCACAGGCCTGGTCAGATCCTGTGTCCCGCAGCTGAAAGGACATTCCAGCTCCATCTCACCAGAAAAAGACCCTAAATAACACCCTTGCACCCTCAGCTGGAAGGGGCCCACGCTGCTCATCACTCAGCAAGCAGCTGTACGCAGTGGGAAGCAAGAAGGTGGGGTGAGGAAAGGCTCTATTTAAAACAGCAAGGGTCGTGTATGAAAAGCTGCCAAAGTGGTGATTGCCCAGGCAGTCTCCTCACTGCTCGCCCCCAGCCTGCACCATGCACAGAAAAACAATGACAGAGCAAGTGCAAGCACAAGAACAGAAGAAAAATCTATTTAAAATTTCCAGCGCAAATGCAGGATCAAATTATTGCTAATGGCTCGCTACCAGCTCTTTTTCACTCTGAAACTTTGAACAGGGGTGAAAAATGGAAGTCCAAACTGTGTATTTGTTCTAGGAAAATGCCTGCCAGGGAGAGATTGTTAAAATATATTATGGATATGCGTCTAATAAGCTGGAATGTGCAACACGTCTCCCTGGTTAATGGATTGTCGGAGCCTGTTGCTGTCCACAGACTGCACTATTTATTATCCCTTTATTGTTTCTAGTAAGCATGACTGACAAAACTCCCATTAACCAGGCAGCAAAAAGTCCTGCTTTGTAGGAATTCGGAGAAATCCAGAAATTTCATTTTGTCCAGAGGTGCAGGTGCTGAACAGTGCAAACTGTGCCTGATTTCAGCAGAGCAGAGGGCGGGCGTGTGCTCGGTGATATGGATGAGGAGCCATCCTTTACCCATTTCCATTTCCCCTGGTGCCCTGCATGGAATACCAGCACACAGGCTGGGCCGATGAGAGCCACAGCACGCCAGATAGCTGCCACACCTCTTCTGCATCTCCTTCATTGATTTGGTGATGGATTTGTTATGTTTATGCAACAGTTTCGGGTACAGCATTGTGTTAGGTCAGGAATCAATTGGACTGAATTGCAGAACACAAAGGCTGGTATTTGAAGCACTCCTTTATATACAATATTGCAATCTATATTATGTTTATGGCCTGAATTACAGTTGTCTAAAAGGCATTCAAGCATCTCCTGTGCTCATCTTCAAACCTGCTGTGTGTATTTCATTTAGGTACAGGAGGCTTGTGCTGCTCCAGGTAAGTACACAGATACTGTCAAGCATGCCATTAGAGCAAAGAATTACACCCAGTGCCAAATAGGTGCCATTTAGGTATCTCTGCTCAGATGAGGGAGTGCTTTAGGATTTCAAACAAATTAGAAAACAACATTACTGCTCTTTACTGGATCTGGCTTCACAGTGGGATCTGACATTATCTCGACAATGACTCCCTGCGAAAATAAAGTATATTTATCAACAAGGAGATGTGTCAAAAGCAAGTTAAAGGTTCTAGAAACCTGTAACAAAACCAAGTGGCAACCTTTTCTTACAGTCATTCTTCTGAGCTGTACCCAAAGTCTGCTGGCAGGAAGAAAAAGAGCTCACATTTTAACTGGAAAATTTTCCTAATGGAAATCATTTTCCCCAGTTTTCACTCTAGCATTACTGAATTTTCTTGGGGTAATAAAGTCTAGGAAATAAGGGGTGAATCCCATCCCATCCCCAGACCAACAATACTGTCATGTTCCGTGGCACCTCCAGCCCCAAGCTCAAAGGATGCTCTCCCCCCACAGTGTCTGCAGAAGCATTCCCAAGGTGACAATTGCAGACCCTCTGACTTCCATCAGAACTGCAGCATCAGCCCCATGGACATCTGAAGCTACTTTCCTGAGCACAGGCACATCCATATGGCTTGTCCTTTTAATGGGAGGGTAGCAAATGCAGTTTGTCCTGGAGGAGAAAGCAGAAGACTTGCTCCAAGATCAGAGGCAAAGTCACTGGGTTAGTTGTCTGCCAGCAGATGTAGTAAGAGCCAAGTCATTGTCTCATATCCAGGATGATAATTTCCCTTGTTACAACTGCTCACACCGTAAAAAATTCACTTAATCATCTACCTGCCTCAAGCCTGTGAGTAATGAGAGGCAGGATCGTGTGTAGCTGATTTTATCAAATGCTCTTATGAAGTTCTCCACTGGGAAAACCCTGAATCAATTAAAACACCAAGGAGAGATGTAGGAGAGGGATTCATACTCCCCAGTAGATGCTCACCAGGTTATAAACACATTTCACTTACTCTGTGGATGGGATGGATGAGCTCCATGGGGACAAGGTCAGCCGAGCCATGCCCATAACAGAGGAAATCACCGTGGGGCAAGGGAGAAAAGAAAATCCTGGAGCATCTGTTGACACATCTGCGTGGTTTTGGCACATACCTGGCAGTCTGCATGGGTGTGTTTGGCCTGGATTTCTCATCCCTGCCGTGCTCCTGTTGTGCTGTCTGCAGCACAGCTGCATCACTTGAGATCTCATAGGTCCTGCTGCAACCAGGAGCTGCAGGCAGTGACATCTTCTCCCTCTCAAAATGACCCTTCCCATCTTGTTCTGCACCCTGCAGAAGCTGCACTTTCATGTTTTCATAACCATTTGTGGAGGAGGAGAAGGGAGAAGCTCTTCACTATATAACAGTACTTGCACATAGCCTGATGGAAAAAAGAAAAGCGCATTTGCCATGGGGCACTGGGAGAAATGATGGATTGCCAGGTAGCAGACATCCCTCCCCACGTTGGCAGGATATTGTATTCTGTGTGCCATACAGGAATGCTGATAGATCCATAAAGCATTAGCCTTTTCCTCACCCTAAAAAGCAGTGGCTGATAAATCACTCGCTCTCTGGAGTTTGTTGGGAGCAGATCACACAGCAGAAGCAGTGAAGCCTTCAGAGAGATACATCACTTAAAGACACTGCAGATGCCAATAGGGTTGTACATCAAGAATGCACAGACAAATCACTTTTCCTGTCCAAAATGAGATACTTCAGACCTAGAACTTTTTTCCAAGTATGTACTGGTTTCAGTCACACATCAGAAATCTCTCCCAGAGCCTTGGAAAATCTCTGAGCTCCAGTCCTGGACATCTCTTTTTTTACAGAGGGTTTGATAAGTCTTCTCTCCTGTTATAGGACAAAAAAATTGCAGAATATTTCATGGGATAAGATCCCATCCAGATCCAAACTTTTCCAAAAGAACTCTTAACTGTGGATGAGGCACAGGTTTTGCAGGGGGCAGCTGGCTGTGTAGCTAACCATGCAGTCACATGAAGGATTTTGCATCTCTTGTAAAATTAAAAGTGCACAGACACTGTTGGTGTGGCTCAAAAGCTCCTCCACACACCCTCCATCTCTGGAGAACCCAAAACAGAGCATAAAAGGATGAGACACAATGTGCTGCAGTTAGGGCACACGGGTGGTGGGATGCAGCCTTCAGGGAGGAAGGCTCTCATAGCACTCCTCACCATTGCCCAAGCTGCAGCACCCCTCTCTTCACCCAGTGAGAGGGGCTGAACACTGGCAAAGCTCCTGAGTACACGAGGATCACTCGAGAGGCAGCTCTGCAGAGGGATCAAACAGAAGGGACGGGAGAAAACTATTCACCATGCACTGCTGCCTCTGCTGGGAGCACAAGGCAGGCATTTCTCACACTGATATTTTCATTTATCATCTCCTGGTGATTAATCAACAGAAGAGACATCGCCAGGAGCCAGCCCAGAAGGGACCAGCCCAGAGCATCCACCTATGGAAATAAAGTGCTGCCAACAATTTCCAGCCAGGGCTGCTACACCACAGGAACCCCACTCACACAGAGAGCTGGGATGTACAATCACAGAGCTGTGGATCTGCTCCACACAGGGGGAGCAGCCTGACAGCTTCAGAGGAGGCACAGGGGGCACGCTGGATACCAGGGAGATGCAGCATTCCCGCTCCCCTGCAAGGCTCAACAGCACAAGACAAGCTCTGGAGCTGCTGGAGCAGAGGTGATGTGGGGCACAGGGTCAGAGGGCAGAGCCACACTGGATCTTTGCAGCCCAGGCAGCCTCAAGTAAGAGCTGTGGGGATGCACACACTGGCAAAGTCCCACTGCACAATGAGGAGAGCACACAGCTCTGAGATGGGATTTAC